TAATTTTTAAAAACAAAAAAATGAGAATAGAAACCAAACAGGTTCTAAAATTCTTAAATTATCAATTTTACCTTTAACATAGGAAGAGTGATTAAATATGTCATTCCAACGAATCAGAAATGAACATTTTTAAAAATAATTTTTTAATGCTTACTTAAATTTTATAAGGTGTCTTCTATTGTAAAGACTAAACAAAATTTTTACTATAATATATCCCCTTCGTTAAAAAATAAAATATTTTTTAAAGGATTGAATATTAAAAATATAAAATATTTTTAGTCTTTCAAAGTGTAATCATTACATTTTTTTTTTAAAAAGTGCCCCTACTAAATATAAGACTTTATTTTTTTAGGATGAAACACCCCTATTAAATAGAGGTAAATATAAAAAGATATGATTAATTTAAAGATAAGTAATTACTTTATTGAATGGTGAGATTTTGATTAAAAATACCTTATATTTTTTAATAAAGGGAGTATATTATAATATAGGTTAACGGCCAAATTTTACTTTAACACAAACTATTTAATATCTTTCTTGAACAATGCAAATAAACATTATTCCCTCTATCTCAAATTATAAGATACTTTTAGATAAAATCTCACATACCAATAAAAGAATATTGAAGAGAGAGTATATATGAGAAAGGTGATATTGAAAAGTATCATTAATAAAATTTTATTTTTTATCAAAATGTCTTATATTTGAGATGTTGAATCTTTTCTAAAAGTGTCTTATAATTTAAAACGGAGAGAGTAATTTACAAATGATATGCAAGAATTTTTCAAAAAATATTAATACATCTTTCTTCAAGTGACTTGTCTTTTTTTCTTTTCTTTTCTTTTTTCCCTTTTTTCCTGCGCATATTGCAGCTAAAAAAACTTTCTTTTTTCATACAAAGCTAAAAGAATTTTTTAATAAGTGCTGAAAAGTTTATTTCATCAAAGAAAAACCATACAAGCAAAGCCAACTACCAGCTAAAACGTATACAAAGAGAAAAACAAAAGCCTAACACATGTATACTTGGTCTGGACCACTTTTTATCATTTTCTTCTTGCAATTGTCAATTGGGGACCAAATTCATCTGAATTTCTTCGAGTGAGTACGATTTTGTAATTTTAATTGTCAATTTTGTTTTACAATTAGTTTATATATCTCATTTTTCAATTATTTATTTATACCTTTTTTTTTTGCCAACGTTCTATGTATACTATTTACAGATATTATTTTTTCCAAAATAAGTAGAATTAGCTAATCCAATTATCCTTATGAAATAATAATTTTAACAATTTACTTTTTTCACTACAGGTCATCAGTATCTGTTAATATTGGAGTAGTAATTTTTCTATTCATAAGATTCGAACCCCATTATTATTTAAAGGGTGTTAAATTCCTCATAACTCCTTACCATTTACAATTATTAATTCCTAATTAATTAGACTTTATTGAGTATTATATGAATTTGGAGGGGGGAAAAACTCAGTAAGAGAGAGATGAAATTTTACTGAGATTTATCCATGAAGTCAGACGTGCGATGCAGTGGATATATGCATCACAAGTTTATATTACTGTCTCAATATCAAATTATGAGATAATTTAAAATGAGATTATGCATACCAATAAAATATAATAATAATACTTTACAAATATACTTTTTTAAAACAAAACTGTAAAGCTTCAAACATGTTCTTACATATTTAATCATTACACGTTAATGTCATTTCAATTTTCTCTTTACTTGAAGGACAATATTAAAAAAAAATCATTATCTTATATTTTAAAATAATAAAATTCCTCCAAAGTTTTCATGTAATTTAGGATAGAGAGAGTATTAATTTAAGGAATGTTACTTAATTAATCACTAAATTAATTATGTGTTTTCCTAATCAGAAAGGAAAGAACATAAATTATATCACTCAATTATTTTTATTTTTAATAATGACTATAATTCTGCGGAAAAACATGGACACAATTTAATGTTTGTGTAATGTGTACAAATGCTTGCACGTGATCCTTGTCTGTTACGATGTGAGAGCTGAAGAAATCGGGGTACAATTATCCGCATACAATGACCTGGGTTGAAAGCAACCCAAGCTTATCTACAGTGTTGGCTTTAATGAGCGAGATTACAATTATTTAAGCATATAATTTTGAATTTAAATTTATGTGAATATAACAAAAATTTAAAAATACATTTTAATTGAAATCGTTAATTAGATGGTTTTATATATATATATATATATATAAAGCCATCCAACTTCTGCACGTCCGCAACCTGCTTAATAGCTATTTGGAAAATAATGCTTCCTCCATCACAAATTATAAGACACTTTTAAAATAAATTTAACGTTTTAAAATATAAGACACTTTAATAAAAATAAAATTTTATTAATGATACTTTTTTAATAATACACTTCTCATATATTTTCTCTACTTAATATTTTTTCATCAATGAAGTATTAAATGAAAGATATTTTTAAAAATTTATATTTTTATCTTGAAGAAGTAAGCGTGTAAAGTGTATTTAATAAACTTTATTATATTGGTATGTAAGATTTTGTCTAAAATTATTTTATAATTTAGGGGGGAAGAAAGTATAATTTATGGCCCAACTTTTTTCCGCTTTAAGTTTGGCATTATTAACCTTTTCCACGTGGAAAAACGTGGCAGGAACCGTAAAAAAATTATTTGCCATTCTCTTTATAGCACGCGATCTAGAAAACGATTGAATTGATAGCATATATGTTCAATATATTCAAAAAGTTAGAAACACATGTTTTAACTCTCTTATTAATGCCTAACACTCAAGTGTACTTTTAAAAAGCCACCCAATTGCCGACGATACTATAACCTAGTTAGTTACATGAAAGTTTTTTAATAAATAAAAGAAAAAATTAATCATTTGGTCCTTGTAGTTTTGACCCAATTGTAACTCAATTTATTAATTTTAACTCATTATAATTCAATCTCTAAAGTTTTGACTCAATTATAAATCAGTCACTGAACTTTGCCTCTTGCAATTTAGTCTTTGAAGTTTCAACTTCTTAAATATTGATCTCTATATTTTAAAAAATAAAATTCTAAAGATTAAAAATATTTTCAACTTTTAACATTCATAATATTTATAAATATTAAAAGGGTTTAATAATTTAAAAATTAGTAATAAATTTTAAAATATTTTTAGTCTTTATAATTTTATTTTTTAAAATATAAGGACAATATTTAAGAAGTTAAAATTTCAGGGATTAAATTGTAAGAGGTAAAACTTAGAGATTGATTTATGAAATTTCAAGAACTAAGTTATAACAAATCAAAATTGAGGGATTGAATTATAATTGAATCAAAATTATAAAGATTAAATGATTAATTTTTTTTAAATAGAAGGTCACCGGTTTAATCTTATTTGTAATTTTAAATTATTAGTGCTTGTCCTTCTGATAAGGGGAAAAACAATTACCCTAGCCACGTTGAGATAAAGTCCATTCACCCACCTTCAGGATTTTTTTTTTTTTGGGCCAGAAGCTACTTTCAAAATCTACTTCTTGGATGTACTTTCATCTCAATTTCTTATAAGGATAAGCATAGCTAGATTGAAAAGGACCATGTACATTTGTCACATGCATACAGTTAGTGTTGAAATTATACCTACAGCTGGAAATATGGGTCAGCTGACCCACAATGGGTTGATAAAATCCGCATCTTGTATGGATTATATTTCTACCAACCCACCAATAATGTTTTTTATATACATTTTTTCTAATTTTGAAAATCATAAATTTACTTCTTTTCATTGTTTTTTTTGTGTCATAGCAAATCATATTTTCTCCTTAAAAACTAATTATACTAATAACAGTAAAACTCCTTCTAAATCATTAAAAATATAAATTAAAAATAAATTAATACAGTCCAAAATAAATATATATCAACTACAAACATACATAGTAAAAAGTTTAATTATAATCTAAAGCTTGAATATTTCTTCTAATCAATCATATAATGTTAGAAGCTTTATCAAAAGCTGCTATAATATTAACCTAGTAAGGATTGAGGTAGCAGAGCAAATGGTGCTGCAAGGAAGTCAAATGGGTGCTGCTATGATAAGAAAGCAAGGTCAATTCTCTAAGTTGGGCTACTGAATGAAGATAGAAAATTCTCCAAGAGACTCAGTGGTTCTCCGAACTATACTGGTGGGACTGGAAAAATGCTGGAACGATGGTGTTAAAACGATTGAGGTTGATTGCCATTGTGCCAGTACTTTTAATTGCTTAAGCAGGGATACATCAAAAAACAGCCCTTTGCATGATCTTCTTCTTGAAGTGAAGAGCTTTTTTCTTAGAAATTGGACCGTCTCCTTTAACTTCCTTTGTAATGATAATAGCGCTTTTATTAAAGACATGTTTAGTACAGGTCATCTCAGGACTGATTGTTTTGCTTCCTTTTACCATCAACATTGGGAGGGTGGATCGTGAAAGGAGTTAACTCTTTGGGGGTTGTGCAGTTTTCTAATTTAATAGTACTTATTTTCATCCAAAAATAAAAAGCTACCCAAATGGAGTCTATGTGTGCGTTTGGTTTTCAGTTTGTCAAAAGTCAGTTTGATAAAAATTCATTTGGCAAAAGTCAGTTTCGTGAAAGTCAGTTGTTGTAACGAAATTTGTGTTTGGATATATTTTTTCAAAAGTCAGTTTGGCAAACTGAAAGTTGTTTGGATTAATAAAAATTTATGCTTTTCAAATGTACTTTTTAATATGTAATGACCAAAAAGGACATTGATTTATGATAATTTATAATTTTTATTATACAAATGTAATATATTAAAAAAAAGGTGAATCAAATTTAAAATGACATAAAATTTAAAATGTTAAATATTAAGAATTAAAAAAATAAAATTTAATTTTGGAAAAAAATTATGTAATAAATAGTTAAACATTCATTAATATTGAATAGTTACATGATTAATGGTTCGATCTATAATATACAATCTGATTTCTAATAGAATCTCAAACCCTATTCATTTCTCTATCAGAAACTATGCTTGAAATTGCACTTGGAATTGTTGATAAAAATGCAGGCTCATCAGTATCATCGATAGTGTTAACCATATTTTCATCCTCAAAATGCCTGAAGTCAGAATCAATTACAGATTTTCTTCTAATAAAATTATGTATAGCCATTGTTGCACCAACAATATGAACTTGCTGCACAAATGGATAGCTAGGCATATGTCGTAAGATTGTGAATCTATTTTTCCAAACCCTGAAAGTCCTTTTAATCGTGGTCCTTAAGCTTGAATGATAATAATTAAAAATCTCATTATTATTTCCAAATCCAGATGAACGCCTAAAATCTGGGAGGTGGTACCTATGAGATCTATAAGGACCTAAATATCCACGTGGAGTTGGATAGCCAGCATCTAACAAATAATATTTACCTACCAATAAAAAATAGAAATTATAAGATCCCAAAAAATATTAAAATAATTGTTTAAATTAGATAAATATGAAATATACCTTGGGGTGGATGCGGAAATTTCATGTCTGGCCTTGTGAGAGCAGAGTCAAACAAACGAGCATCATGAGCAGTCCCTTCCCATCCAGCCATGACATAAGTGAAGCACATATCCCAATCACATGCGGCTATTATATTTTGTGTTGGAATACCTTTCCTTCCAATATATTTCCCTTGCTCTTCAACAATAACCACACACGGGATATGTGTGCCATCAATTGCTCCTATGGCATCTTTAAAGAATGGCCAATATCGTGGATCACCTAAAATTTTTGGATGAATATCTTGAAAAGTGCGATCTTTTGGTTGGATATATTCCTTTGCTAGCTTCTCACAAGCATGTAATACATTTCTAAAATGCCTGCGAACAGTCTCTGCTGAATGTTAAAATCGTTCTTGTGCCATCCTATTCCCCACTCCATGTCCAACAATATTTATGAACATACCGACCATTTCATGAATCCCTGTTCTTCTGGTTGGACGTAGGTCATGTTGCACTAGTTCGTCACAAAGTTGAAAAAAAATATCTTTTTCCATACGAAACATATCATAACAACGTTGAGTATGCCCTTACAAAATTTCTTGCACCCATGCATGACCTGATTGCGAACTGGTTCTACAAGGCTCTTTCAATAAAGTTATTGAGTAATTGGATATTATTGCAGTAATAGCCTCAATCTCATCGTCTTCCGCATGTACAAGTAATTGTAATAAGCGAGATTGCGTATTGTCATCCATAAAAACTGCATAGCATAATTAAACAACCATTACACTATTTGTCCATGACTTAATGTAAGAAACACATAACACAAGAGTCAAATAACACAGTCAGTTTCAAAATAAATTAACAACATGAACGACACTAGCTAAATTTTAAAACATTAGAAGGCAAGCTAAGATGATCTAATTTCATTTTTTGCCCAAGCACCTCAAATAGGCCACTAATGCTCTTCTGTTGTCCCTAAGCCTAATATACATGTCCCTTGCGGTCTTGTCTAGCAAGGCCACAGCACACTGTCCAAGAAGCACCTCATCATAAGCAATCTCCTCGATTCCATAAAGTTCCTTTGCAACCTCCAACACATTTTAGTCAACTGGTTTTGTTCCACCCTCTATGGAATTAAGAATTGACTTCAATGTTGAAACCCTATCCTCTTGTGTGGACACCAATCGACTCACTGAATCAACCATCACCGTTGCAAGACGTTTTCCCTTTTTGTTTTGACCACTTTCACCTCTCTTTCGCTTGCTCCCTGAATTAGTACCACTACTATATGCATTATTCAAGTTAACCTGCCCAATTCCTGGGAGAGCTCCTCCATTAATGTTTCTTATATCATCACTGTCTCCTGATCCTTCGGTCAAATCCAACTGAGGCCTGTACACATCTTGTGGATCATCAGCCGCAGGTGTCCACATGTAAGTGCCCTGTGCTGCAACTGGCTGGAACAACTGTGTCAATTCTTGTGCATATGGAAGTGGTCTATGCCTGAATTTCCTATACTCAGGATTCTCCTGCACATTTACAAGAACTGAGTCTAGTATATCTATAAAATAAAATATGAAATGTTTAGCATGTCATGTATAATTGTATACCTTAATCTTTTGACTCCACCACTCCTCTGGTGCTGAAACAGTATTCTTTTCACTATCCTATCCCAAACCGGTCTCTTTGTTTAATAGCTTGTCCCATATATTCCAATCTTTCCTCAAATTGTCCCATTTATTCTTCAACTGCTTCTTATCATAACTTCTTGAACTCAAAGCATTGAACTGTTGCATTAGCGCCTCCCAACCCTCCTTTGATAAGGTAGAGCCTTTACGCTCATTTTTCTTAACTTGCTGGAGAGCTAATTTAATAAACAATTCAGTTTCTTCGGTAGTCCATAGTGCCTTCTCTTTACTCATTTTTACTATCAAAATATCACATTCTCAATACAAATGAAATTTGAGGAGTAAAAATTCATAATTGAGTTAGAGTTAAAATATTAAAAATTTTACTATCCTTTTTTATCCTTCTTAAAAATTTTACTATCCTTTTTTTGGAAACAAAAAGAGAAAAAAATTATTCGATCATAGTTAATTCACCACTTGTTATCTTAGCCACATATACTTGTCGAAAGAGGCAGTTATGCAAAAGCAGCCATAAGATAATTTCTGTACTTACTCAAAAATTCAAATCATATAATTCAATAGTATGTATTAAAATAAGCAAGTTTGACCAGAAATTTGTAGCTTTTCTCATCCCTTTATCAATTTTCAAAAAATAAATTAGCTCAAATTCTTATTAAAATGAAATTAAAAAAAAAAACAAAGCAACATAGAACAATCAATAGATCAGTCACCAGAATATATTTCCAAAACACCGTGTCATATTTTAGAACATCAGCAAATCAACAGAATAATTACAAAATGCAGTCATAAATAATGTTCTTGCTTGCTTATTTTTTCTTGTTATGTGAAGCTATCAAAAGAAGGCAATTAAAAAAAATCACACCAGTCTGAAAAATTAAAAAAACATACCAAAATGCTTCATGGTGATCTGAAAAACAAAAGAAACAAACCAGAACAGAATAATTACAATATGCAGTCATAATTAATCTTCTTGCTTGCTTATATTTTCTTGTCATGTGATCAAAACAAGGCAATTAAAAAAAATTCACACCAGTCTGAAAAAGAAAAGAAACAGACCGGAATGCTTTCACGGTGGTCTGAAAAATGAAAGAAACAGACCAGAATGCTTTCACGGTGGTCTGAAAAATGAAAGAAACAGACCAAAATGCTTCACGGTGGTCTGAAAAACGAAAGAAACAGACCGAAACAGTGGCTTCATGGTGGTCCAAAAAAGAAAAGAAACAGATCAGAACAGAGCTTCACGGTGGTCCGAACAAGAAAAGCAACAGATCACATCGAAGAGCAGAACAAAGCAGCACCATTTCCAGATCTGACAAAAAAAGCTTGGAGGCTATCATACCTTGCAGATCGAGGAGCAGATCGGAGAAGAGGATTGGAGTTCCACGAGCTAGTCGGAATGTTCACCTTTGCACTCCACAGATTGCAAAAGCTACTGGTCGGAGTTCTCTCAGCTCCGAAATGCCGCCCAAGTCCCAAAATGAGCTTGATCCGTGAAAGAGATGGGGAGAAATTAATGGTGAAATGCACCCATCGTTGATGAAGGAAGGAGAAGCTTAGGGAAGGAAGAGATCCGGATCTGTGATGGTGGAGGAGAGGCGAAGGAGAGAAGGAGAAGAGATGGCCAAACGGTGGACTAGCGGCGGACGAGTGGCGGACTAACGGCGGACGATCGGCGGACACAGAGCAGTAGCAAAGGACGAAGAACACTGATGTATCAGCTGCATAAATGAGGACCACGAGAGGAGAGTATGCGTGATATGTATCAGCTGCAAAAGTGAGGGGCATCATGGTCAATAAACAAATTAGGTACCAGCAATAAATGTCCATCCAACTGATCACGTTTTGAAAGCAAGTGGGAGTAGCTTTGCAAATTTTTTCATTTCAAACGTATTTAAAAGTCAGTTTAAAAAGTGCATTTTGTCTGAAAAAAAAAGCCAAACAACATTTTACATTCAAAAAGTTAAAACTTACTTTTGGAATGTAAACGTAGTGAAATCCAAACGCACGCTACATCTTTATTGTGAAGATTTTCATACACCTTATAAGGACAAGCATAGCTGGATTGAAAAGGACCATGTACCTTTGTCACATGTAGGGATAGCAATTAGAGTCAAGCTCATCGGGCTGATTCTTTTAAATTCAAAAATCTTTCTTCAAGGACCCTACCACTCATTATATATATTAGATATTAAGGAAAATCCATTCTTGCTATAGAGAATACACCCTTTTTGATAAAAAAATAGAAGTACTATCTTATCCATATTTATGGCTACATCATTTTTATATTTGATCTCAACAAACAAAGATCCATATAAATCAATTATCCGAGCATTTATTTTATTTTTTGAGTTCTAAAAATAAAAGGACTAGCCCTTTTAAGCACGCTATTATTTTATAAAAAAATTTCAGTTTTTTAAAAATAAAGACTAACTTAAAGAATAATATCTTTGCCATTGAAAAGGCTCCATAGAGAGAATGATCAAATTATATTGATGTTGATAATAATGATAATTATAATCTTCAAGATTTTGCTAATTATATGGTAGAAAAGTCTAATTTTTATTGGTGTTGATTTTGATGTTGTAATTTAATTTTGATGCTCCGATTAAATTATCTAGACCCTCATCAACATGGCACTGAAGTTGGTTCCTATGCAATGAACATAGAACTAAAAATCTCCACCATGTGTCCTGGTTTGCATGAAAATCACCCACGTTTGAAATTTTGTAAACTAAATTTGAATAAAATATAAGCATTGCACAAAATTTATTTTATAAATATCACTTTATAAAAATTAGGCCTCAGCTCTCATCCAGTGGAGGCTCATCCTTACCAGTGGACCCTAATATGTGTAGTTGTGAATCACGTTGGCATTATATGGTCCATCAAATCAGCTAAGAAATAACCCTTTCTTTTTGCTCGTCTCTGCACACATACCAAAACTTCAACACCCAAATCGCCTAACACAGAGAGAGAGAGAGGATGGGTTTGAGTGAGAAGACGATGATGAAGGCAGGTCTGGTTCTGTTCCTGATTGCCTTCACTGCGACAGTGGAAGCTCGGTTCGATCCAGACACCTTCCTGGCTCAGCTGATGAAGGAAAATGGGGAACCAAACTACATGATCAAGTCCACCACCACTGCCTGCTGCGACAACTGCGCCTGCACAAAGTCGATCCCACCTCAATGTCAGTGCTATGATTGGGGAGAAACTTGTCACTCTGCTTGTAAGTCTTGTATCTGCCTTGCTATCTATCCTCCAAGGTGTCGTTGTTTTGACACTACCACCTTCTGCTATGATAAATGCTCCTCTACTTCCGCTAAACCTCAGATTGCAGCAAAATGAAGATGATTCAAATTAATGGTGTCATCATGTCATGTTTATGTGAACATCAGAGCCTGTTACTACTGTAGGCTTTGCTTCTATATGTATGTGAACCTTCCCTCATGAAATAAACTATCTTGTGCCTTGCATGCTTCCCCGTTTGCTTCTTGCAAGCTGGTTACTTATGCAAGGACTTGATATTACTCTATCATCTTTTGTTTTCATTATACTTTGACTTTGTGTTGCTATTTAATTTAACATCCTTTGAATTTAATTTTAACTGCCCGTTTGAATTTCAATTGGACATAGATTATGAAAATAATTGATTAAGTGGTAGATTTTAATCATAATTGATTATGTTGTAACGTAATATGTTTGGATGCTATTTTTCTAAAATTGATTTTAACATAACTGAAGATGCTTGGATAATTTCTTCAGAATCAATTTTAGCTGTGTAAATTATCATAAAGGATATTACTTTTTGAAATTAAATTATTGATAAATTTGTATTTAATATTATTAAAGTTGTTACATTTTATTTAAGAAGTAAAATATCTTATTTAAACTACATATATGATTAATTAAAAATCTAAATTATATTAATATTAACATTTAAATTTATGTAAATAAGTAACTAAATATCTCTTACTTAAAATAAATTTAACAAAAGACAAGAAAATTTAATTTTTAAACATGAAACATTAATTTTACAACAACTAATAAAGATGATAATATACAAGTTGATTCTTAATATCATGAATACTAGTCATAGCTGATGAAGAAGATATTATAGATGATGGTAATGATAAATATTCATCAATGTCATGGTCTTCTTGATCTTCATGGTCTTCCAGATCTTCCCTCTCATAATGCATAAAATAAGAATCAGAATTAGAGTATCTTTTAATAAAAGTATGTATCGCCATTGATGCAACAACGATTTGAACTTGTATATCATAGTCATAGCTAGGCATATTGCATAAAATTGCAAACATGTTCTTCCAAACTCCAAATGTTCTTTTGTTATGCATCGTAAATTTAAATGAAAATAATTAAAGACCTCGTTATTATTTACAAATCTAGTTGATCTTCTAAAATTAGGAAGATGGTAGCATTCCCGTCTATACAGACCAAGATATCCATTTGGTATTAGATAATCGGCATCCACCAAATAATATTTACCTTGTAGAAAAGAGATTACTATTAATGTCTATAAGTTGAAATGTCTAACACAAATAAATTGAACAAACAAATACACCTGAAGGTGGATGTGAAAAGTTCATTAATCGAGTTGTCAGAACATGTTGAAAAATGCGAGCATTATGCGCAATACCCTCCCATCCAGCCAAGATAAAAGTAAAGCACATATCCCAATCACACATAGCCATTACATTTGCGTAGGGATTCCTTTTCTTTCAATATATTTGATTTTTCACTGGCAAGGACTATATATGGAATATGTGTGCCATCAATTGCTCCAATGGCATTTTTGAAGAATGGCCAATATCGCTTATCATTTTTTGTTTTGTTTGATATGTGACGAAAGGACCTGTCTTGTGGTTTGATATATTCTATTGCAAGTTTCAAGCAAGCCATTAAAACTTCATGAAAATGTCAATGGATAGTCTCTTTTAAATGTTGAAATCTTTCTTGTGCCATCCTATTTCTCAACCCATGTCTAATTGTATTTAAAAAAACAACCATCTCCTGTACTCTCATTTGCATGGTATCCTTCAGTCCATGCCGTGTCAATTTACTACATAATTGATGCAACACATGTGATTCCATTCTAAACATTTCATAGCAACAAATTGGGTGTCCTTCTAAAATTTCATTTACCCACAAATAACCTGTATATTCACTATTTCTTCATGGCTTTTTACACAAATGTTTTGCTACATACAGCCCAATGAGAGCACTCACTTTTTGAGCTCTCTTTAACCTTTTTTTAGATGACTCTTCTGTACTTCTTGCTACATGTAGCTGAACACATAAATAACACGTGCAACTTAATTTTAATTACAGATACATCTAAATAATGTATCTATGAAAATATTAATAACTTTTCCAAAACATTGTAATACTTGATTATCATATATAAAAAGTACATAAGTAGTTTAAGGGGCTATATAAGTCAAATTCAACAATATAATACAAACATGTTAGACTACTCTTTAAGTAAGATCATATGCTCATAACAAGTTTTAAAACCCTCATAATCAACCATTTTTGTAACATTCACATCTCAACCACTCTAGAACACTCTCTTTATCATCCTTCATTATCAAAAACATCACCCTAGCCTCTCGAGACAGGAAGAGTGATATGCATAGTGAAACCCAATGTTTGTCAATTGCAACTTCTTCCTATTATTTGACTATAGACATGCACTTCAGGAATTGATGTTTCCTTGGCCTGTTGAGATTCTTTCTTTGTTGCTTGAGCTATCATACTCATTGCATATGTTATTTAACTTGTATTAGGTAACTTGTTCTTTTTTCTACTATTACTGCTTTCGCCTCTCTTCCTCTTACCACTTCCTCCACTTAAGGTTCCTTGAGAAGCATTCAGAACTGCTCTATTAAATTCACCGCTTACTCTAGTAGTAGTTCCTAACATCTCATCACTATCTCCTGAACCTTCTTCCAAATCAGTACCCTCATTTGCCATATCTGGCTGATACACATCTTCGTCCTCACCTTCATTCCTATTGTAAATATTAGGCAAAACTCCATTTGAAGGTGCCCATGCTCTAGGTCCATTGGCGGTGGTACCTTGAAACAACTCGATTAATTCATTGGCAAATGGTAATCCTTTATTTCTGAATTTCTCGTACAATGGATTTTCCTGCACATAAATTACTAATAATATTATAGAATACACAAATAAATAGAATAAATATAAAGCCTCACATAATAATATCATACCAATATCTTTTTCTCCCATCAATCATCTGGAACATCTATAATATTGTTTGCGTAATCCCAACCCAATCTTGTCTCACTTGAAACTAACTTATCCCACAATACCCATTCTTTTCTCGTATTACCCCACTTATTCTTGAATTTTTGTTTGCCATATTTCTTTCCAGTCCTCTCATTGAAGGTAGAAATTATACTGAACCATCTTGCTTTGGTGAAACTACCACCATTTCTTTATGATTTTTGAGCTTGGTCCAAACAAATGTCAATAAATATTTAAGTATTTCTTCGGTCCCATGAAGCTTTTGACTTATCGTTATTCATTATACTATATAAAAATTAATTGTATGAGAATATAAAAAACTAACAGGTTAATTATAGGAATTGTAATTAAAATGTTACATGACAAAAACTTGACAATTTTCATAGGAGCTAAAATCAACTTTCGACAAACACTAAAATAGCACAGAATTCAACTAAATGACCCCTATATATGTAAAAACATACTGAGAATAAGCCTCCAGTAATCAGTGATCACGCAGACCAAAACCAACACAGAGTTCATCTAGGCACAAAACCAACTTTCAATAGCTTTCCCATAATTTGCAAATGTACAAGAGTTTAACTAAAATCAGGTTTCAATAGCTAAAATCAACTTAAATCAACTTTCAACAGCTCTCCCATATCAAGTCATGAGTTCTACTAGGCACAAAACCAGCACAAAAATAGCATGAAAAATTAGCTTTCAACCACGTTATTATTTGCAAATATACAAGAGTTGTAATGGTTCAGTTTGACTAATCAAGAGTTGTAAATGGTTCAAAACACACAACTAAGCTAGCAATCACGAGAAGAAATCCACATCAGCCAGAACAGAGTGAAGAGGAAAATAGAGTCCACCAGCACAAATATCCATTTGGTTTGACATTGTGCCTGACCAAGATCATTCAACAAAATGGTTAGAGAAGATCATTTACCTCTGAACCCAGTCGAAACTTTACTCAAACACAAATCACAGGAGATGGGAGATGAACATGCTGGACCATGAGCAGATCAAAGACAGAGCGAGTAGATCAAGGAAAGAGAATGCGGATGGAGCTTACTGCCTTCTTCAACTATGGCAGGAGATCACTGCCACTGGCTATAGCTTGGAGATGGTGAATGAATGTCGACGATGCCACGAGGATTGCACAGGACAAGGACCATTGATCTGCACACAGATCACAGATGGCTGAAGATCGTTGCCTTTAGCTATAGATTAGGGACGGCAGACGGTGACTATGTTGGGGCTAGGTGGACGACGATGGAGAGACGGCACAATGAAGTCGTAGATCGATAAGGCTAAGAGACAAGAGCCGACCAAAGACACTAGAGAAGAGACAGAATGAGAGAAATGAGAAATTAGAAAAATGAGAGAGAGAGCATGTGAAGTTGAGGGTAATATGGGTAGCTAGACATCTAACAAAGTAATTAATGCAATAACGATAGAAAAACATTTTGGAAGTTGGTTTTGAGAGATTATGGATTAACGCGCGTTTTGCCTGATTAATTGATTTTTAGATTTATATGGTGTTTGGATAATTTTGTTCAAAAAATCAATTTTGGGCTAAAAAATTGATTTTCATTGCTATCCAAACACACACTAAATAATTGAAGGGAAAGTGGCATCCAAGACCCATAAATTTAACTGGACTTTAATTTTTTTAATACGCCTTTAAAAGACCCAAAGACATGAGAGATTAGCTGGAAAGGCTAAAATGGTAAATATTGGAAAATATGAACCAAGCTAGCGGCTACAAGGTGTCTTTGGGTCATTATTTACCTTAAATTTTACTTTATTTTTTTTATTGAAGTTATAAATACTCAAGCTCATTGTTAACGACAACGTAAATAAAAATCCACAATGAACAGATAGCCCAGTGTGATGATTAATTGTCTCAAACCACAAAATGATGAATCAACACCAAGCTCTACTTGCTTCAAAATTCACGATTTATAGACAAGCCAAGATCTCAACTCTTCGAGTGTTGTTCTCCCTTAATCAATTGTCACGATTTTATTATATATATATATATATATATATGAACAATGAAGAAGTTTATCATTTTGTTGGGAAGAAGAAGAAGAAGTTTATCATCAATTTAATTTCATGTGGCCTCTATTATATGGGCAAATTATGGGATTTGGATTTGGTGATTGTACTTATTATAAGCATTAAGTGCCTGTGTTATATGAGCTATTAAAATTTATATCAACGGTTCACATAAATTTACTTATTCATTAATTTTATTGAAGTATAAATTCAAAACCATTGATTTAAATTTTAACAGTTTAAACAATATAGGCACTCAATACCTATACTAAGTACAATTATTGAATCTAAATCCCAAATTATTCAGCAAGGACCACTTTGTTATTGGTCCCCTTGACGTCGAGTACTGCATCAATGAACATTGTAGATATTTTTATAAAATATGTGGTTGCCTTCAATTATCATAATATGTGATTTATGATATGCATTCTCTAACTTCATCAGATTGGATTTGAATTCAGTAAATGTATTTAGTACAGACACCGAGTGCTTATATCATCTAGATCATTGAAATTCAAATCAATTATTTTAAATTCAAACTCTATTTGAGATTAATAAATGAGTGAATTTATTTGAATTGTTGATATAGATTTTAACATCTCATATGGTACAAACACTTGGTGCCTACAGTCATTAAATCTAAATCCCACCGGTGATTATATTGCTAAGAGAAGTGTTAGTGATCAAGGCAAAAAATACATCTCTCTCGATTATGAATCTCGGGTGCGTTTAAAAATATTGTACTTATAAGTCCCTTACATTGTTAGCAAGACCTGAACTTTATGATTTTATGAGATATGATGAGTCACACACTAATCAGGCTGATCTTTGTTGACCACTTGAGACACCTCTAAATAAATAAATAAAGACCAACTAATCTCTCTTGACTTTATGGGAAATTTTCAGATCTCTATTTTATTTTCAAAATATTCACAGATATTTTGTAAAAATAAAAAATTGTGTAATTTTAACGAAATATTATTTGTATATATATTTGTTTTGATTAGGAAAGAACTGAGTAATACCTAAATTCTGTAAAGTAAAAATGGAGCATCAGACAAAGGTGTGCCAGCCATGCCTTTCCAATCCATGTGTGATATATACGTAGTACATAAATATTATTCACCATCGAGATAATCAAACCAATTTTTGGACTCACGTAATGACATTGACGTAGTCGATCACGTGCCTCATTCAATATATCTACGGGAAAAAATTGCATACTACTGCTTATTAATTAACTTTAAAAAAAAAGCCTTGCAAATATTTTTACAAATATAAACTAAGAATAAAAAATTATATTTACATGTAAATAAGAGCATGGAAGACATTCATGCACATTTATAACATAACAATTTTACTAAATCTAGCTTTTGAATTAAGATAGGATGTCTTTCTACTAATTTTGACCTGTTTGTCCTCTCCACTTGTTTCCAGGATCTCGCTCCCTTTCCTAACAATATACAACATACTCAGTATAATGTTCTATTGGGTGTTTCAAATCATATATAATATTCTATATATAACATAATATTTATTGGAATCTGTATTTCTCATAATATCAATAGTGCGGCTTGTTTCAAATTCTAATTGAGATATAATGATATTAGAAAGTCATTTACTTCTTCCTAAGTAATAGGCCCACGTAGCTAGTTTTCTTAGTCCCTTGATGAGTTTTCTTCTGTTAAAACCTCACTTTTAACAATTTTATCACACAACCGGAAGTGATATGATTAAACGAAACTAAAGTTAAAGCCCAGAAAATAAAGCTTGCATGTATATTAATTATCCTCGAGTTGCTATTGATTTGGTAACCAACAAATTAAGTTGAATGACCAAGTGTTTTTTTTTTAAAAAAAAGTAAAACATACAAATTACTGTTCTTTAGTGATATTTTGTTAAGCAAAACTTCTTTAAAAATAGTAAGTTAACGTAAATAAAGAACAATGATCAGCAGCCAAGTGTGATAAACAATAATTACTCAACCACAAAATGATCAATCACCAAGGCTCTATCTTGCTTCCAAAATCCCTTATCCACAGTACTCAACTGAAGATCTCAGCTCTTCGTGTTGCTTTCCTTTTATCAACTATCATGATTATATAATATATAATGTTTATCATTTTTCGTGAACAACGGTATTGTTGCATTGGTTTTTTGTTCAGCACGGACCACTTCTTTAATTACCCTTTTGTTTTCGGTCTCCAAGTGCGTAAATGTACAATGGAAATATTATCAGCTAGCTAGACAGGGACGACGATGGAATCTTTCTTTGAATGGTTATTATTTTTTTAAAAATTAAAATGGTTTTTAATGCTTCTTTCTTTATATACACTCACTTTAATCATATTATAAGTTACTTTTAATATATTTTATTAAAATTAAGAAAAATATTAAAACTCATTAATTCTATCTACAAATTTAATAGGACTTTTCAGCTTTTCCCGTGCATATTTGTTAAATATATATATATATATATTTTAATAATGCAATTTCTCAGGATTTTTCAGCTTTTCCCATGCATATTTATTTTACATATATATATATATATATATATTTTAATAAAGCAATTTCTCTTTCCAATATTTAATGGGGGTAAAAGAAAAATTTTATGATAAAAAAAAATCAATGTCATGCTTTATAAGTAGGATAAAAAAAATTATTCTCTCTGCTTTATCCTTTATATATAAATAAAAACGGAGGTAATGTATATATACATATATTGTGTTCGGTTGCCTTCTTTAGCTTACGTGGGATCAATTGATTCAATCCTTAAACCGGGCCATTTAAGTGTGGTGCAAATTAAATGAAACAGTGAGGAATATATAAAGCAATCACTTAATTATGTGTTTTCAGAAAGATCTTTAAAAGTTTTAACCGTGACAATTTTTGGTTAGACAAGATCTGAGTAATACGACTTTGGTTAGAAAAGATCCAAAATTTGACTAAATAATGTTAACATCAGACAAGGGTGTGGGGCCCAGCCACTTTCGATGGGCACTTATATAGTACAAACTGATACATTAAAGATTCCTTATGATAATAATCAATTTTTGGATTTTCCTAGTGACAATGACTTTGTCCATCACGTGCATCAATTCATCTATCCACAAAAAGTAGCATATTAAGTTATCAATT